GTCTCGTTCCCGCTCTCAGGGAACCGAGGTTACGATAGTAACCGGAGACATTTCTCCGTTATGGGAACGACATTCAATCCCGCCATGAGAGAGGCTACAAGCAGCCTGAACAAGTCACATACTCAGCAAAGATAGAACACACATTTCCCACAACCAATAGCGACGCTTGTTAGGAGGGCTTGCAGCTGATAGGTGGAGATAAGCCAATGAGCGTCTAAAGCCCAGGTATACGAAATTTGCATATCTGGTCAGTTATAATGTATGCTGTTCTGAGAAACAGGGCAGAAGCAACAACAACCACAGTATTGTGAGGGGGGGCTGCACAGAGATAACTGTGTAAAGCAGCAGTTTAACACATAACATGATGATGGAGATAACGGTGTTAAGCAGCAGTATAACACATAAGATGATGATGGTACACCAATCGAATTAGACATTGAATAGCAGGAGCTGCACTGAGTACAGGGCAGACAACAGCAACAATAGCATATAGGGCTGTGCAGAGTAATTACTGTGTGAGGCCGCAAACACACATGAAAAGAGGTAGCATAAATGTGAATCAGCCACTCACCGACAGCATTTGGGAGGCTAAGAACCGAACATCCAGATTGTAAAACCTGGCGAAGGTATTTGGAGAAGACCAGCCGGCTGCAAAGCATATATCCTGAATAGACATACCTCTCGACCACGCCCAGGAGGCGGCGATAGCTCTTGTTGAGTGGGCCCTAATGTCTAAAGGACATTCCAAACCTTGGCTCGTATAACAGCTGTGATAGTGTCCACAATCCAGTGGGAAAGCCTCCTTTTTTACACGGCCCATCCCTTCGCACAAGCACACAAAAAGCTGGTCAGATTGCCGAAAGCTGGCCGAACGGTCAATGAAAATACTCAAAGCCCTGATGGGGCACACCGAAATCTGAGCGTCCGCATCACGTGAGGTCGATGACTCAGAAGACAGGGCAGACAGCGAAACAATCTGCGCTCTATAGGGGGTTGATTTAGGCATGTAGCCCGGTCTCGGCCGGATAGTGACGCTGCAGTCACCGGATCCGAAGCAAATACAATCGCCGTCCACAGAAAACGCATGTAAATCCCCTATGCGCTTAGCCGAAGCGAGGGCAAGAAGAAGTGCACTTTTGAGAGATAACTCCTTCATATTAACGGATGCTAAAGGCTCGAATGGTGGCTGTGAAAGAGCTCTTAACACCACCTCTAGGTCCCAGGGCGGAACTGAAGGCGGACGCAGGGATGCAATCTCCTAGCTCCCTTAAGAAAACTCTCGGAGAAAAGCATACAGCCTGGCTGCTGGCCAGTGCGATGTCAGAGCGTCCCCTTCCAGTGGGGAGTGAGACAGGAAGAAGAAGAGCGGGCAGTACGCATTCTCGCTCGTGGCGAACAGATCCACCTCCGCTCTCCCGTAGCGGGTCCAAATCATCCGAACTGACTCGGGATGCAGCCTCCACTCTCCTTGAGGAATCCTCTTCCTCAAAAGCATTTCTGTCCCGCGGTTCAGGAGACCGGGGATGTGCGCTGCTCTGATGGAAAAGAAAGTGACGGTCCGTCCATAGCAGGAGATTCGCTGCCTGCTTGTACAGAGCCTTGGATCGTGCGCCTGCTTGGTGATTTATGTATGAAACCACAGACATGTTGTCGGTGCGAATCAGTACATGTCACTGTTCCAGCTGCGGCCGAAAATCCTTTAGAGCTAAGAACACTGCTTCCAGTTCCAAGCGGTTTAAGTGCTACCGGCTCTGAGGTTCTGACCACAGCCCTGAAGCCGGCATGCCCTCGCGCACTGCTCCCCATCCACGAGTTGATGCATCCGTCGTGACCATGACACGTGACGTCACCAAGCCCAGGGGAATCCCCCTGGCTGAAGAGATCTTTGCGCCACGGCCTCAGAGCTTTGATGCAGCTGCGGGAGACCGCGATGCGCAAACGGTCCGAAGTCCACGCCGTCCAAGGGGCTCGAGATTTCAGCCATAACTCCATAAGCGCATGTGTAGTAAACCCAGATGACATACTGATGCCGCTGCCATGAGTCCCAGCAGCCTCTAACATTACTTCAAGTGATCAGAGCTGCCCAGTCTGAAATGGTGCAGGGAAGACAAAATGGCCGCAGAGCGCTCCCGAGAGAGGTGAGCACGCATCTCCACCGAGTCGAAGCACACTCTCAGATCCGTTATAGACTGACAAGGGGCGAGAATGCTCCTACGCACATTCACACATAGCCCCAAGAACTCCAAGTGACGAAACAGTCTATATGGCTGTCTATAGTGTGTCCCGTGACTCAGCTAAGATCAGCCAGTCATCCAACTAA